TCGACGTTCTGCGGGGCATCACCGGGGTCCTCGTCGGCGTTCTGCGGGGCATCAGCGGCGGCGCGCGGACGCGGGAGGAGCGGGAGGAGAAGGCGCACGAGATCGCCGAGGCCCGCCGGCGGCTGGGAGAGGCGGCGGCGGCGGCGCTGAAGCAGGCGGAGCGCGCCGCGGAGGAAGAGCAGCAGAGAGCGCTGCGCCATGGCTGTGGCCGGAGTTGCGTTGGCCGTTGGTTGGTTGGCGAGCGGTTACGGAATTGATTTGGGGATTTTGAGGGGGATTAGCAAAGAGCCCGTTGGTACCGAGGTTTTGTCCTCAGCAGGGAGCTTTGAGATTCGCGCGGCCTGATTCGGCTCGACCTGCTCTTTCCTACCAGGCGGCCAGTTGATTTGATACAGAATTAAGCCGCCTTTAGAGCCCTCGGATCGGTCGCATCTAGTTCGTAGGATCGACATGCCAGTTAAGCCACGCACGTCCGGTCGCCCGCAATGCAATGGAGAACGCGTTGCAACGCGGCACCACCGCAGACCACGTCTCAGCCGTCCGGTTTAAGTCCACCCCCGCAAAGCCACCGCTGCAACACCCGGCAACACCAGCCTCCTCCTCCTCGAATCCTCGCAGCACGACCCCTGTTCAGCCAAATGGCGTACCATATCGTCAGACATATACTTGCCTCCGCCTTGCCTCGAAGCTCCTCTGGCTCTGTTGCATCCTGGTGGACGGGACCAACTTCGACAAGCACCATAGATCCCAGACAACAAGCCCCTGCTGCGAGCTTGTACCGTGATCTGTTGGTGGTCTTTCTAGAAGCACCCCCTGCCACTTCCACTGCAAATTGGGTAAGATCCTGATAGCCCACACGTGTAGGGATCTGTTGTAGTCCTTTTGATAAAGATAAGAGTGTTGAACTTAACAAGGAGCTAAAGATAGAATTAATATTCCCTCAAGTTCTATCGATCATTGATACAACTCTACACACACTTAAGTGAGGAAAAACCCAACCAGAACCAAAGTGATTGAGCATCACTGAAGAGTTTGATCTGTGTGATCCGACGCCTATTACCTTTGTAGACTGTCATTATTCCATACAGTTAGGCGTCATGTTTTGAGCACCCAAGAGTAATTGTGGCGTGCCGGTGATCAAGTCTGTGAAGATTTTGGAAATCTATCTTAAAGACTTATCACGAGTGAATGGGCAAAGTTTGTTGTGACCTTAACTCAAGAGGAATATGGTGAAGACTTAGTGTCTTCGAAGTTTAATCTCAGCCGCCTCAATTAGACGTACAGTTGATACAACAACTGGAACTGGTCTACCAAATCATCATGTCATCACCGAGCCTACCTGGTTGTAAATTCCTCAACCATGTACTTTCTATTATTCTGCTGCTAAACAATATGTGATCTACATTCTGAAGAATTTAAACTGGAGACTTTCATTAGAGTTTGACAAATTTCTAAAAATCTCCCATTCATCAGGCATATTTCCGCATGGATAACTTTCCTTCGTGAACTCCAAACTGCCCCACAGCTTGACCACCATCCACGTGAACTCTTCCGGCGACAAAGACTCATGCATACTAAACAACCAGTTCTTTGTTTTTTTTCATGTTTTCTAAACATATGCTCAACCATGAGTTCTGAAGAAAGTGCCCATATACTCCTGGCCATTTACAGCTCAACAATGCATGCCTCCATGTGTCCTCCATGTCGCAAAATGAGCAGATGGTCGTTGTCGCCATGTGTGCTATGGTGAAGAAGCTCTCTCGTCAGCAAGCAGTGTTGAGCCAGACACCGCAGGAACACCTTAATTTTGGCTGGGATCATGGTATTCCAAAGGGACAACCACCCGCTGGGCTGTGTCGCACTATGTAATGATCTTTCCCGTACTTTGAGCCAATTCTCATCGCTTATCTTTATCTTAACTGTCATATTATATGCCATACTCATCGAAATAAGCCCTTTCGGTCCGCACTCCAAGCCCAAAAATAGTTTACATAATGTGTGCACAAGGGGATTTGTAAGATTGCTTCATCATCAAGGGGAAGAAAAACTGACTGGACCAACTCCTATCGCCACGAAGCTGAGGTGCGTCGATGAGTTCCGATACAAGTTATGGCGAGTGTTAAATCAAAGAAGATAACAACCTCATTATGTTGTCCCTGCGAATGTAGTTTTGTGGCCCAATGTTTGTCGGTGCTCTGTGTCCAATCCTTGTAATCCTTGGGCCAAAATGTCTCTCCCATCTGAAATTAATCTCTAGATTTGAAAGGGATGTGAGCCCAATTCTCCCTCAAATAGTGATGCTTTTGGGAAATATGCTGCTTTTAGGATTCTAGCACTAAGAAAAAAAGTTTCTTGCCACATTCGACATGCTTGGCGAGAGAGAAAGTGCCAAATTAAAAATCTACATACCACGAAAACCAAGGCCTCTTTTTTTGGAAGCGTCATAACGTCCCATAACACCCAGCAAGGCCGTTGTGCTACTCGGGCAATCCTATGTATCGCTTGTGGCCATATGGAGAATAGCATCACTTCAAGTGACGGTATAGTGGGCCGGCCCTACAGTGTTAGGTTCATTTTTTTCTTATTTTTTTTACCTTTGTTTACATTTCAAAAAATGTTATAAATTTCAAGAAATAATTTACTGAAAACATCCATCACACATTTAAAAATGTTATCACAATGTATTAAAATGTTTGTGCAACTTTTAAAAATGTCCCATCATACCACACACCTTGCAGAAAGGGATCTTCTCATACTTTACCACCAGCATGCGTGTACCTTCACCCATCACAGTGAGAGGTGTGAAACGGGTCAAAGGTTTTGTTATTAGAACCCTTGCCCTGACTCTCACATAGTCACCCTCATAGTACAATTTTGGTTGGAGCTAGACCTCCCTCACCTTCCCAATCCTGCGCGCTAACTGGTCCACCACCGATTCTTGACGGTACACTACCGTCACCTTGTGAATTTGAGCCCAAAATACAGTCCGTCCAACACAATTTCACCCGGATCTGTTTTCCCGTCATAATCCTCTATCACCACTGCCAAACCTCTAAACAGCCATGGCCCTCCATGGACCACTCTTTTCCAATCTCCAAGGCAAAACATCTGGAAGATGAACAAAATTTCCCCAGCCTCTCGGAATTTCGGGGTCTGCGCAAGGCCCCATATGAATTTCATATTTGCAAAGAACAACGTCGAACTAAAGGGTCGATCAGTGTTAACCCTAGCTATTGCCATCCACTTCGTCCCCGCCTCAAAGGATCTTGCCTCATCCTCCCCGATGACCACTTCATCGAGTTCTTCGTCCATCAGCTCCATGTTCTTGAGCATCTCTTCCAGGTCGACCTCCTCCCTTGACCCCGCTGTAGTGCTTGATGCCGCCATGGGAGACAGGACCGTACCCTTCAACTCCGCCCCAAGAACTCCTTCCTCGTTCTCCCTCGACGCCCGCACGCGAGCA